TGCCTGTTTCAGGCCTAAACCGGCAGTCGGACATCCCCCAAGGGGTCCCAGATTGGAGAGGGTGCAGGCTGGACTGAGTGACACCCCGCTCAAATGCATGAATTTCATGCACCAGGCCTCTAGTATTTACATAAAAACACAAACTGCTCTGTTCTCTGGAGCTAATAACAATGTAAAGTAATTAACTTATTTTTGAGCTGCCAGAATAAATCCCTACAATCTAAAAATTTACTTGACTTTAGTTTGTAATTTAATTTGTTTCATAATTGCATTTTCTTCATTGGAAAGTCTCATATAAATGTTTAGAATATTATTAAATGTTTTATTACAACATTATGGTACATGATAATATTCCTAAACCTGATTTTGAATCATAGTTTTATCTTTGGCTTTAATTTCTTCATTTATAAAAGCTCTGAACCCCTTCTTTATTTCTGAAATTTTTAAATATTTTTTGTTTAATTTATAGTATGATAGTCTCAAATAATATGCTAAATTTGAATCTTGTATCATTGTTCTTCAGTTTTTAAATGCATTTAATTGTTCTTTCTTTAAAAACTCAAGTGAGGAAATTACATGTTCATTTCTTAGCTTCCTCTAGCCATTTTAGATTTTTAAACATTAATCTTAATGTTGAAAGTGATCCCATTTTGAAATGATGTATTGTTTAGAACCTGAGTAAAATTCTTTAGTAAGAACTCTGTGCTCTGAGGGGTCCTCAGGTGCACTGAGGCACTGAGAGGCTACTTTTCACTAACATATAGGCCTTTTTATCATCAGGATGAGGTAGTGGTCATATTTTAATTAAAATGTCAGAACAAATACTGTTGGAGTTATTGAAAATGAATCACCAGATAAAGTGAGCACTGGGCCATGGCAGGTCAAAGAGGCAAAGTCACCTGGAGAAGAGAACTCAATTCATTTTCCTGCCTAAATGAGGAAGAAGGAACTTTATGAGCAATATGAACTTTTAATACATGAAAGCACATTCCTCTCTGTAGCAAAACCCACTGTTTTTACAGATTGATGGCTTTTCTCATTATGTTTTTATTATTTGACAATGATATGAAACCTTATTCTTTAGAGCATTGTAAATATTTTGTTTTAAAATGTGTGCCAAAGAGCCCTAGCCTTTTTGGCTCAGTAGATAGAGTGTTGGCCTGCGGACCAAAGGGTCCTGGGTTCGATTCTGGTCAAGGGCACGTACCTGGGTTGCTGGCTCCTCCTTGGTCTGGACCCTGGTCAGGGCTCATGTAGGAGGCAATCAAATTGATGAGTTTCTCTCACATCAATATTTCTCTCTGTCTTCCCCTCTCTCTTCCACTCTCTCTAAAAATCAATGGGAAAATATCCTCAGGTAAAGATTAAAAAATAAAATAAAATAAAATGTATGCCAAAGGAATAAATTTATTTGAGATTTATTTCTTTTTATTTGAATTCTATATTCTGTGTGGTGCTTTACTTCATAAGCCTTTGTAAAAGTCAGCCTATTCACTGGACAAGGAAGTTTATTTATTGTAAAAGATAATGTTCTCTTCTCAAATGCAGTACTTCTTTTCCATTGTATCTGAGAAATTTAGTTAGGTTGTGAAGATTTCCGTCTATTCCCTCTCTTTCTTACTTTTTCCCATTTGAGGTATCAGCCAGAGATCTTGATATAATGCTCTTTTTTATATATATATATTTTATTGATTTTTTTACAGAGAGGAAGGGAGAGAGATAGAGAGTCAGAAACATCGATGAGAGAGGAACATCGACCAGCTGCCTCCTGCACATCTACTGGGGATGTGCCCGCAACCCAGGTACATGCCCTTGACCGGAATCGAACCTGGGACCTTTCAGTCCGCAGGCCGACGCTCTATCCACTGAGCCAAACCGGCTTTGGCAATGCTCTGTCTTAAGAAGCAGTTATACTAATACTTCCAAGAGCTCTACCTCCCAGGCTTCTTTAAGAACATCAAAGATCTCTAAACCCTTCCTTACACTAATCCAAAGACATGTCAAATGTTTTATGCTTAATGAACCTGATTCTGCAGGTGAGAACAGGTGAGAAAATTAAGTGATTGTTCACAATTCACATATGTATTTATTTATTTATTCTTCTAGACTTCAGAATATCCTTCAAAGCACGAAGTCAGCAGTCTTACTGGTAGAACTGTCCTAAGTGGGTTTTTTTTTATTTTACCTAGGGAATTGAAATTTTTTTAAAAATATGAATTGAAGCTAGAATTTCATTAGCACAATATCTTGAAATGTCTACAATGTAGTATCATCATTGCATCATCTTCTTTCTCTTTTTCGCTCCATTGTGCATAGTATGTGGAGTTACCTCATTCCATCTCATTCATTTCCTATCTCAAAATACAGCAATTCCTAAAAACAGATGTTTCCTTATAAGCATTATGTTTTTTATTAAATATATTGGGATGACATTGGTTAAAAGATTATATAGGTTTCAAGTGTACAGTTCTATGATACATGGTCTTCCTTTTGCATTGTGTGTCTACCATCCAAAGTCAAATCATCTTCCGTCATGATATATTTGGCTCCCTTTGCCCTTTACTACCCTCACCCCCCTTCCTTCTGGTAACTACCACACTATTGTCTGTGTCTATGAGTTTTCAGTTTTATATCCCACATATCAGTGAAATCATATGGTTCTTAGCTTTTTCTGATTGACTTATTTTGCTTAACATAATATACTCAAGGTCAATCCATGTTGTCCCAAATGGCAGTATTTTATCTTTTCTTAATGGATAAGTAATATTCCATTGTATATGTGTACCATATCTTTATCCAGTAATCTATCGAAGGGATCTTATTTTGAAATTGGTGGCTGGTGAGGGTGTTAATCGTTGGACTGAGAAGTCAAATGCCTTATCTTAATTCCTGTTGTATTTGTTGTGTCCAGACTAGATTGAGGCTGTGACAGTCTCCTACTCTTGGTCTCATGCTACTCTGATATGTTACTAAAATAGTTTGCTCTCCCTAAACACAACATGCATCTACAGACCATTTATTACTTTTATTTGGTATGCCATTGTTGATTTTCATCTGCCTACCTTGTTCTGTACTTACCCCAGTTAATTTGCCCAAGGTTCTATTCTAAGTTATCTATTACCGTTTAGGCCTTCACAATATCTAATTGAATAAAAGGAGCTATTACAGATAACCAGTTTTACTTTGGGCCAATTGATATATCCCTAGCCAAACCTCCACAACTTTAATATTTTTTGACAATTGTGTACTTCACAACTACATGTTCTTTTTCCAGCAATCTTGCTTCCTTCCAGTTGACCTCAAAGAAAGATGAAGCAATTGTATGTCTCTTTGAGAATTTTAAGGTCAAAGCCTGATAACTCCCTTGGTTTTGGAGCATTTATCTTCATCCTATGGCAACGTCTCATCTTCCTCATGGTCTCTTTTTCAAAGCTTTGACCTCTATGAAATTTCTTATAACTGATTAGATTATTTATTTTCCCTAACTTTTATTTAGAGAAGGCCCTCCTCTGACCTAGACCTTTCATGAAATGCAAGCTCTTTGTATATGCTCAGAAACAGACTGGGCAATATTAAAGGACTTCTAGACCTTAGCCCACTATTCTGCAGTGTTCCTGGAATCTGGTGTTAGAACTCATAGGTGGTATATTTAATTATCTTCCTGTAAGATGTAATGAAACTAAACTCACCAATAAATGTATTAAGAGCCTTGTGGTTTTAGTTGTAAAATGAGTTCCTTCTGTCCCTTTATTTTGTCAATAAATAGGTTTTGCCATCTATCATGTACTTACCTTAAGTTAGTGATACCTTAGACTCATACATCTTAGTATTAGAAAGGGGTATCTCAAAGGGTCACTTTTTATATTCAGAGTTTCTTCATCCTATCATAGTGATAATTTTGGATTTTCCAGGATGAATTAGAAAAATAACATATTTGGTATTCTTGTAATAGAGATATTTTATATTAAATACTATAAGATCCTATTCATCCTGAATTGGGGAATGGGGCATTCTTGTTAATTGAATACTGCAATTAGCTTAAAATTTCCAATTGATTACCAATTTAACCAAGTAGATAATTATACCTTTAGCATTTTCTTTATGATACATGGCTTTGAGTAATCTTCATACATATCCATTGTTATCATTATATAGAATTTGAATTTTTGTTCAGATTCAGACTAAAGAAAATGATGTAGTAAGTAAATATTTTAACAGCAATATTTTTGTTTTCAACCAAAGACAATTTGATCAGAGCATTTCTAAGGAACAGAGATAGAATAATAATTATTAAGGTAGCAAGGAATAGGCTTTAGGTATTAAGGCAAATGAAGTTGGGTCTTTTAATAAGCACATCATACTTTCATTATACCTGAAAACAGGATTAAAATCAATTCATAAATTATTCATTGAGCATGTGTTGTGCGCTAGGCCCTGTGTGAGGGAACATAAAAAAAGCAAAAGATTAAGGACTAAGTCTATCTGTGTATCCCCTGCTACTAGCCCAATCTCTAGTACATAATATAGATGCTTGCTGTTAAATGAGAGTTTGTGTGCTGAAACAGTGTGCAGTATCCAGCTTTATTCCTGTTTATGTGTTTGTTGGTTCCCATTAATTTTGTAATCCAGTAGGACAAAGTGTTACTAAGCTAGAATGTCGAAGTTTTAATCCTGTATATGCTATTTTTAATGATAGCTTAATTGAAATATAATTCACATACCATATAATTCACCCATTTAAAGTATAAAATTTAGTGTCTTTTAATATTTGTTCAAACATCACCACAGTCAATTTTACTATATTTCCATCACCTCACAAAGAAACCCAAACCCATTAGCAGTCATCCCCCACTACCCCCAGCCCTAGGCAACCACTAATCTATTTTTTTGTCTCTGTACATTTGTCTATTCTGGGCATCTCATAATGTTGTTATACTATCAAATTACTGTATAATTTTTAAGTTGGTTTGTCTATGTGATACATAAGAAAGCCAATGTATGCTATCATCTTTAGAGGCATAATTTAAGGATGAATGTAATCATAAGCTCTTTGATACTGGTGAGGAGAAATAATACAAATCCGAGAGAACACAATTGGAGTTAAATCTAAGTAACTTACTAATAATTAAATTAATTTAAAAAATCTAACTTGTCTTAGGTTGAAAAGCCATTGCTTGAAATATGCGTATGTATTAGAGTAGGTTATGAACGCAGATTTAGTATTGTATACATACAAAGCTCTAATTCATTAAAATACATACTCATGACTTTTGTTAGTAACTGATTACATATTGTAGTTATCAACAAGGCAAATTGTGCTTTACATGTAAGTAAAATTTTTGTCTTCCTTTAGAAAATGAAGTTGAAAAGCCAAGACTTCTATGGGCTCTTTACTTCAATATGAGAGATTCTTCAGACATCAACAGGAACTCTTATAATGATTTACCATCCAACGTTTATGTCTGCTCTGGCCCAGACTGTGGTCTAGGAAATGATAATGCAGTCAAACAGGTAAGGCTGTTGGTGTTTTCAGTCTTGTGTTAAGAAGTTGGTGTGGTAAGGAAAGTGAAATGTTTTTTCCTCTGTGGGTTGGGAAAAGAGACTAGAAAATTAGCTCTCTCATTAATACCATCTCTATAATTTGCCCTTAAAGTTTTTTTCTATAAACAATAAAACTACTTTAAAGTATCAAATACTTTCACGTTATTGAATATGATGATGAACTACAAGAGTTCATTTATGAATTCCACTGTTGGAATAAGAATAGAAAATGCTACAAATACACATTCAGAAAAATGAATTTATAATGCCAGTATTCTAAAGAAACATTGTTTCTAATTTAAACTGTTGGTCTATCAGTGTATTATTTTGAAATTCACAGACTTTTTTCTCTGTCAACCTGAGTCATTTAAAAAGGAAAGTACCTAGTAAGACAAACAAAATTTAATTTTAAAATGGTCTTAAGGCATTATCTTATCTAGGAAAAGAATGCCTAACATAGTTTTTCACAATTAATATGATTCCTTTAATGTTTTCACACAAGCCAGTGTCCCAAAGGCTGCTATTATAGTTGCTGAGGAGTGTGCTAAATGAAAGTGGAATTTTGTGACAGTACTTCTGGGCAGGGCTATGAAGAGGTGTGGAGCAGGCTGACACAAACTGCTGAAAGTGAACTATGATTCCATTAAGCTGAAGGTTCATATGCATATATAAATACACTTTTATGCACTTGACAGAAAGTGAAGAATAGAAAATATCATTTTTGAAGCACAAGTCTAAACTTGCGAAAGACATAGTTGGCATATATGTCAATTGAATCAATAAATGGGTAATTAACATTGTTCTAAGACAGTGATGGCGAACCTTTTGAGCTTGGCGTGTCAGCATTTTGAAAAACCCTAACTTAACTCTGGTGCCATGTCACATATAGAAATTTTTTGATATTTGCAAATATAATAAAGCAAAGACTTATATTTTTGATATTTATTTTATATATGTAAATGCCATTTAACAAAGAAAAATCAACCAAAAAAATGAGTTCACGTGTCACCTCTGACATGCGTGTCATAGGTTCGCCATCACTGTTCTAAGACCATAGAAGGAAGTTTCAGTCCAACTGGGAACAAGGATCTTATAGGAGCAAATAGCCTCATTGAACCTTTAATTTTTAGTAATAGCGGCAAGGCCTTGACCCATACATTTACAGTTTTTGCCGGAGTCTTTGTTTCTCATCTTCAGAGTCTAATGGTAATCCTGGATAATCATATTCAGCCAGTGATTACAAAAGCAGGAAGTCACAATTCTCATCCATCATTCTTTCTATTAGTTTAATAGGAATCCAAGATGGTTCAAGATCTACATTTAAGGCTTAAAATTACCAAGTCATTTTTGCTTTGATGTTCCAATTTTTTCCAAGCAGAAATTGCCAACAAGTTTTTAGCCAGGTAGCTTAGGTCATTTTTATGAGTGAACTTTAATGTTTTTTTAACCAAAATGGAAAGCCTTTTAAATAACAGCTTATTATACAAGTGCTAATGTGATCTGAACTGCAAGCTACAAGATTATAATTAAATTATAATTTTATTATGAAGTAATTTGCTTCCCAAGAATATAGTTTTCAGGAGTGTAATATTGTCACAGTAGGTTATAATAATAATGCTGGTTTGGGTACTAATTATTACATGCTATTAAATATAAGTAATCTTAAGTTTGTTACATAGCTTTTAATTTCACATTAGGGAGAAAATATTATAATTCCTACTTTAAAGGAAATCAGTAATAATGTATAAATAGCCAGTTTATTCAGATAAACTGTGTTTTAATTTCAGTATATCATCCTGTGTTCATCCCATTCACTAATTGATGACTTCTCTTTGCTAAGTTGTCTATAAAAGCTCTCAGATCATCACCTAGGCTTTTCCTGTGTAGAAAACATAGGCACCTTCTTTTCTTTTTTATAAACAAAACTAGTGGCCTGTTGCACGAAGATTCGCGCAATAGGCCTTCCTTCCCCTGGCAGCCGGCACCAGTTTTCCTCTGGCACTTGGGACCCAGGCCTTTGGTCCAGCCGCAGCAGCAATGCTTGGCTTGACCCTTGGTGACCCAGGCCCCCAGCCCCTCCTTGAGCAGAGCCCAGGGCCGGTGGGAAGCTTGGCTTCCTCCATCTCCGGGAGCAACCCAAGCCTCCTGCTCGCTCCAGCTCCATGACTGCCGCCATCTTCAGTCATCTTCAGTCTTCGCTCTGCGCCTGTGTATGCAAATTAACCACCATTTTTGTTGGGTTGATTTGCATAGCTGCTCTGGCTGGTGGGTGTGGCGGAGTAACAGAGTGATGGTTAATTTGCATGTTTCTCTTTTATTATATAGGATGCTTCATTTTACCAGCTAGCAAGTTTGCATCTGCTTTAAATATATATATTGATTTCAGAGAGGGGAAGAGAGAGAGAGAGACACTGAGTATTGAGCCCACAACCCAGGCATATGCCCTGACCTGGAATCGAACCATTACCTCTTGGTTCATAGGTTGACACTCATCCACTGAGCCATGCCAGCCAGGCTGCATCTGCTTTTCTTATTTGCAAATGTATAGATGTTGAAAAACATAGACCTATCTTCCTTGTGTTCATATGGAACTATTTATGATTTGAAGACATGCTAAAAATATCAAATGATCTCTGTTTGATACTCACAAATTAAAGTTGTGTGCCAGAGCACACTGACATTCCCTATTATCACACAATGATAGCTGAGATTCTTTCTGTGACTTGCTAGTTTTTGTAGTTTATATTACATTTTTTTCTGACCTTAATATATGATTTCTCTTAATACAGCTATTGTATCATTTACCCACACATACTGATGAACAGACTTGTCTATGGGCCCCTACTTCCAAGGCAATGATAGCTCACTCCTCCTCATGGGCCCCATCCCCTAGTACAGTGGTCGGCAAACTCATTAGTCAACAGAGCCAAATATCAACAGTACAACGATTGAAATTTCTTTTGAGAGCCAAATTTTTTAAACTTAAACTATATAGGTAGGTACATTGTTATTAACTTAATTAGGGTACTCCTAAGGCTTAGGAAGAGCCACACTCAAGGGGCCAAAGAGCCGCATGTGGCTTGTGAGCTGCAGTTTGCTGACCACTGCCCTAGTAGCTGTCACTACCATGGGAACAATAATAGTTAAATAGTACTATACTCTTTGTATTATATTTCAGGTATAAAATGAGTTAAATTGGCTAGTTTGGGCTCAATTGGCAACCTAATCACCATTTAGAACATTGTTTTTATGGATAGATTAGCAACTCACTTAGGATTTTTGGCACATTTTTAAGTTGAAGATCAGCTTTATATGTTGTATGAACTATCAGTATCATTAACTTCTGCCATTGCGGGAGAGGGCAATTTTAGGTATATTTTCTGAAGTTGCCATTCATTGAGCATTTTCTGTGTGCTAGACACTATCCTAAGCATCTCATATGTAGTATCTTATTTGGTCCACATAACAACCCTATGAGGTGAATATCCATGGTCCCCATTTTACAAATAAGGAAGCTAAAGCCCAAAAGGGCTAAATAACTCGCCCAAAGATAACTTAGCTGATAAGTTTTTGAGCCAAGATTTAACCTCAAATCTGTTGGACCCTAGTGCTTGTGCATTCATCTAGTGTGCTATGCTACCTTTGTCTTGTTAATGTGGATATATCCTAAATGCATTTAGCTGCTGAATTTCCAAAATATTTATTTTATTTTGTGTGAATGTATGTTAAATAAACATATGCATATCTTAAGTAACTCAGGTTGTTCTCTTTGTATTTTCCAATGTAAGGAAACCAAGTCACAATATAATTAGCCATTTTTAATTTTTTTTTAACCACATGAAACTCTTTACCCTTTAGGCTAACTTCTGGTTTATAAGGGGCATGGAGAATTAAAAGTTGACAACTAACTACTCTGAATCGATCCCTTTATGAAAACTCTCAGAACTGGGGCTTAATTGGCAAATGCAACACAGTCAATAACGTAACATTAGATAGACTTTCCAGAGCATGACAGTTGACCAAAAAAGGTTCCAGCAGTTAGAAAGATACTTCAGAAATGCTAGAGTCTGGCTGTAGAAAATTGGCATCAGTAAAGGCCAGTGGCAAATGGGCTGAAGGTGGGAGTTCCATAGGCTGGTAGAGCACAAATCAGGGTAGGACAATTGCTTGGCAGTCTTAGGAAATAGATTGTTTACGACAGAGATATACGAAAACAGATCTAGTGGGATTCAGCCATGAGGACTGGGGTTCAGGAGAAAGTCTATCTTATAGGGAGGTGATGAAAGGGAGACAAGGTGTGAGACACAGAACTGGAATAAAAGTAAAATTATTATATTTATATTCAACATTTGTGCAACATACAGTTTTTAAAGGTCTGCCAATCATTAAAATATAGTGTATATTGAGCTTCTCCGCCATGCCTTGAACTAAGGATTCAGATTTGACTAAAACACAGTCCTTGTCATCCCTGAATAAATCACTGTTTAGTAAAGGAGAAAAATGTGTCAACAAATGGCAGTATAATGTGGTATATGTAATAATAGATAATATCCAAACTACAGATGTAATACAGAGGGGCCATGAAATCTATCTAGGAGTTAGAGAAAGTCACAGAGAGGGATATAAAAGATGAATAGCAATTCCCCATCTAACTGGAAGACAATCAAATTTCAACATTTCAAATGTTATAGCCTCTGCACCTAGCCCAGGCTAACATAATGGCCTGTTTAAGGAAGTACAAATAAACAAGTGTTAGTGAAGCAAGAAGTCTGAGAGGTAGAGATGGATTGAAATAGATGATAAGACTAGAGAACGTAGGCCAAAAGGATTTTTGTAAGCCATACTAGGGATCTTGGATTTTTATCCTATTTGAAATGTGGAGTCACTGAAGAATTTTAAGCTCCAAAGGGGCATACATAAAATTTCATTTTTCATATACCTCTCTGAGGGCAGCATGGAGATGGATTACA